TTCTGTTCCTCACAGGGTCTTAGGGGGTAACAGTATGCATACATGTGAGGATATATACATAACCCTACGCTTCCACTTATGGTAGCATTCTCTCCTCAGGGCTATTTTGAAAACAAAGTAAAATCCCAATATGTCCATCCCCTCCTCGCATCGACGCAGTTACCACAAAAGATATTTTTTTACCTAAAAATCCGTAGGGATTGTTGTTCATTCCTCCTTGCGTGTTTCCCATGATTTGAGCAGTTACGCAGGTATGTGTATGCGGGTGGCGGTGTATATAAGACTACACACTTACATGCTCTACTTCGGTGTAAACATATGGCACCTGTGTTTACCTTTTGCTCGCGCCTTCTTCTCTTGGGTTATAATGTACCACGTGGGACTTTTATGCAATGTGCTTACGCGCAAAGCGGGCTACGCTAAGTTGTAAATATATGGGCACGGATTGCGAATTATGTATGAATGTCTCGGCGTCTGCACAATGGTGTATGCGCTCTTATCATAAGCAGTTCATGCCGATTTATTGTGCCTCTTTCGATTCGGAAAATTTTTACTCACATTTGCATCGATGTTCGCTTAAGCTGTTGCTCGCGCGCCTTTTCACTTTCCCTTTATCTATTCGTCCTGTTTATCTCTTTCTTCCTGTTTATCTTTTCGATTATGCTTATCTTTACGCTTTTCGCGATAGTATTTTCTTCATCTTTCACTTCAGCGGCAGCCCCCCCTTTCAGCACTCACACATTATTTGTTCTTCTCTTCCTCCCAAAAAATGTAGAGTTGGAACGATAAAAAGTGCCCATCCAAAGGGATATCCGTGCGCACAAAGCTGTGTTAACGCGTTCACGCATCCACTTATGCGTACCTAAGTACGTAAGGAAGTATTTATGAATATATACACGTACATGTATGCACGTTTACATGAATTAAAAAGAGGTAATTTTTTTTTTCTTCGTTCGTTTTTTTGGCGAAGGGAAAGAAAAAAAAAAATAAAATAAATTAGAAATGGCAAAAGGAGGAGTATTTTTGCTTGGCCGTACTTCAGCCAAGAAAAAAAAAAAAGAAAGCAAATGAGGGGAGAGTTCCAAAAAATGCCTCCGTTTAAGCGGTACACATATATGGTTCACCTGTGCAGCACGCAATGTACATATAAATATACATGTATATATTATTCACGTACGGACTCACGTTTCCGCATGTACGCGCGCCCTTTCCCCCAGGCGTGCCACGGAAACTAAAGCGCTGCATTTATGGCCACTTCACCTGCGCGCGCCTAACGCGTTGTAATATGGTGTTTGGGAAAAGAAGTACTCCGATAATACGTCCCCACCACCCTTATGCCTTGACATAGGACTTAGGTGTAAGTTGCGTATTGGGCGTGTTTGAAGTAAACGTACAACAAGCAGGTTTATACATGCCCATGTTTGCTGCGCGTATGGCGAAGACGTTTTAACCTAAACTGTGTACATGATTATACAATTATGTGCTCAGTTGCCCCCTCGGCTTTTTCCCCCTGGAGAACTTTTAAGAAGCTTTTAATGCATACCTTTCGCAAATGTTTATGGTACGCATACTGTATACCTGCACTCCAACCTACAGGTCGGGATATGTTTTGTGTCCCCTCCAAACCTTTTTATACATTAGCATCTCGCATGCTGCGTGTCAATTCCTCGATCAAGTTATTACTGCGTTTGTAAACAGGAAAAAAAAAAAAAAAAAAAGAATATTACTCTTTTTTTTTCGCAGTTTTGGGAGGAACTTTCTCAGAACGGGCTTATGTGAGTCTCTTTGGTTGCGCTTTTTTTTTTTTTTTTTGCTACATATTTTTACCACTAGGCGTTTCAGTATCACCAAAGTGATGTTCCTTTCTGTTTTCTCCTTCCTCTTCCCATTCAACGCTGTTGCTTTGTTATGTTACCCTTAAACTTATTGTATTTTTTTTCCCTTTTCTGTCGTGAGAGAATGGCAAAATAGATTATTTTGCCATTATGCAGTACATAAAAACTGATGCAACGTAACGCAAGGAAGTAAGCACATGGGTGATGACGAATTGTATATGCGATGAGATAAATGTTTTTTACACGTTTTCGTTACTAGGGAAACCATTTCATTTTTTTTCTTTTTTACAATCTTCACCTAAGCAAAAGTGCTATGCTTAGAGTGATTACGTGTTTTCCTATGTAACCCTTTTACAATTATTCAAATTGCGCACCTGAATGTATAAGTGAAATTGCGTCTGTTAATGTATATATGTCCCCCTTGGGCGATTTTGTAAATTTGTACATAAGCTTCTTACACAGGGTGTGTTAAAATAATATAATGCCCTTCATTATCTCTTCATTCCCTTTGCACATAGTATATTTCTTTTAAACCCTTTTAATGTTCCCGCTTCAAACCGTATACATGGCACGGAAATGATTAACAGAAACGAAATAGTTCGAAAATTCACATGGAAAGTAACATTACAGGAGGATGTACATATGAAAACAAATCACAAACTAAACGCAGGAGAAGAAAAAAACGGGAAGCAAAAATAGCATATATCGCCACGACGGACTCGAACAATATGGGAGAATGGCGTAAATCTCCGCAATGATGAAATATATCTTTGTATAGTCCATGTGTCATATGTGCGCGTTTGCCTGTGTAAACATATATGTTAAAAGCATTTGTGTAATTTCGCCCTTTGGTCAGAAATGGTTCGCCATAAATTGTTCCCTCCCATTGTCTTATGCTGCATTTTTTGCGTAACCTTTTTTTATAATATTTTAGCAAAATTTTAGAAATTTTTTTGCAAAATATATTTTTTTTTTGTGTTTAAATTTGTAGTTTTTTTTTTTTTTCCTGTGTCCATTTGTGGAATTAGCTGACCAGCAGAGCTAAAATCGCGTAAGCGCGAAGCTCCTGTGACAGTTTTTAAATGCGTTTAAATTTCCCCTTTTCGTAATTTTGCCCATTTAGCATTTCTCTGCATCTGCGCATATATTTATGTGTCCACTGACCGGAATATGCGCGCTGCCGTACTTACATCTGACAGCGCGTGTTTTTAACCCCACACAGCGGCTGACCATTTCGCGTCACAGAAAAAAGAGGAAAAGGAAATTATGGTTGTGTAAGAACTGGAAAACTGTGACATCCCCATGAGTGTATACCCACATGTGCGTACTGTGAAACGCGCAACATTTGACGTGAAAACACGGGGTGTACGGACACACGTATGTATATACACACATATATAACGCATATCTGGGGCATGCGGAGTTACCTGCCCTGCCCACCCGCTTATGCACACCCGTAGGAGCCGTGTATCATGTGTTTTCAGCCCCACATCTCTTCCCTTGCTACCCTCCTCCCATTATGCTTGCCCTGAACGAAAATAAAATGAATATAAGATTGGTGTGTGAAATAATAGCTATGATTTTGCTACACGTCATATTTTACAAGGTGTCCATTTATTACTTACTGAGGCATTTAGACATTTTAAATCATTCGAATAAATTTAATAAGAACATTTTTTTCATAACCTTCTTAGTTTGTATGTCTATCTTTTCGCTTTTCCTCTTTGAATTATCCAACATAGTGTCCAATGGTACCATTACGTACATTTGGCACATTGACATATGTGTCCTAGTCTTCTTGCTGTATATAGTTATTCCAGTAGAATTTATAAACACTATATTTGACTCGAGTAATTACAAAGAAATCCTTTCTCCAGAATTTAACTCCCACTCGCATATCAAATTGATAAAAGAATATTATATAAAAATAAGTGCCATTTATAAGGAACAAAATGGAATTAGCAAAAAAATAAAGAAGCATTTTTTTCTCATTCGAAGCATCATATTTTTATCATTTCTTTGGCTAAGTTTAGGGAAATTAAAAAATATGATTTACAAGAAGAATTACAATTATGTCATAGCAGATGATAACACGCTCAATATAAGGAAGTATCTGTTGTATAGTCAGCACGCTGAGATTCAGAAGAGAAATAAAAACAAATTCTTTAATAAGACCATTTTTTACTTACTGGAAAGGAAGAAAAAATGCCTTAATTACTACTCCGTCGCATTTCGAAACTTCCATCAATATTACAACAAGGGGCAAGATGAAGGTGGACAAACGATGGAAGAAAACAAATCGATATTTAAAAAATGTATTGAACGAATCTATAACATTATCGGCATCATCTGCTTTATGTTTCTACATTACTTAATGTTGTTGTACAGATTTATAATCGGAGAGCTCCTAATAAACATCTGTGCCCTCGGAGTAACGACCAATTCTATCGTCGCGGGCATATCCTCCATGTATTTTATTTACGATTACATTATCACCTTCGTCTATTATGTACATATTCCGAAGATACAAATGAAGATTTATAACATCGAAGAAAGTATACTAATTAACTTCACTAATTATATGTTTAAAAAGGAAGAACTCCAAAAGTTGCAAAGTAACTTTAACATCCATTCAAAACGATTTCTGTACGATGCAAAAAGGGGAGGATCTCCTGGGGGGAGTGTGGTTCCTGTTAGGAATGCTTCCCCTTTGGAAGTACCAGAAAAAAACAATGCAAAGTGCTATAAGGAAAAGCAAGTTCCATCCAAAGAGGAACAGGAACAAAATAGTGAACAAGGACTTAATGCGCGAAGTAGAGTTGCAATAATGAGGAAAAAAAAAAACTCTCCCAAGAAAGCTTCCGTACTTGTGAACTTCACCAACCGGTTAAAAAATATGTGCACCTTTAAAGATAGCAGCTTGTTAAACTATAGGGATAGCGCCGGACAAGTGAGAACCAGCGACTTTGCCTTTTTGGAGAACAAGCAGAGGCACTCCAGAGGGACTAAGAAGAAACACAAGAGACTCAGTACGCACCATTTTGAGCAATCAAAAAGTAAAAAAAAAAGTGGAAATTTCAGCGACCATGAATCGACTGTTATTAACTATTTCTATAAAAATATAAACAAAGATAATGTGCACCCTTTGAAGAGGTCAAGTAGTTGCCCTCTTTCCTTTTCCGAAAGTCATGACTCGTCGTCTGACGGTGAACCTGGCACGGACTCGAATGAGGAGAAGCAAGTCAGGAAGTACGGCTCCCTAAATGTGATGCTTCACAGTGAATGCGCCTCCTCGAAGGAGGAAGGCCCCAGTCGCACGGGAAGTGGAGGCGACAGCCGTGATGATGGAGGCTGTGACATAGGCGGTGATAGCGGCGGTGGCCGCATCGGTGACAGCAGCGGGTGCCCATACAGAGATAAACGCAGCCGAGATGAAGGAGCAAACGGGGAAGACACGGCACACACCCAAAACACGCCAAATACGCACAACGTGCACAGCGCAGGCGCCAAAAAATTCTTCTTCAAAAGCATCAGCTTCCCAGTGAACAAATTCGAAAAAGCCAGATACAACGAGAAGAATCAAAAAATGGAGCGCATTCAATTTTTGTACGAAATGGAAAAGAATTTCCATGTAAAAGATAAAATAATCATAGATGACGGCCAATTGAAAGACGAATCCAGCGAACAGAACGAGAGCCAGGCGAGTGACGACCATAAGATGTATGACTCGTGTAATGAAGATATGCGCAAAATACAAGACATTGAAAATTACAATAAATTAAAAAAAGAAATAGAAAATATTGTGTACACAAATACGAGTATGTATTATTCCTTAAATGCAATATTGAGCAGGAAGTTCGAAATTCAAAAGAATAAAAATTGCCTGTTGGGAAAAATTAACGTCTTCTTAAATTCGGTCATGTTTTTAACAGTCATTTATAAAATTATTATGTCCATTCTGAATATTATATTTATAAGAATATACATAAGGGATCCTTTTTCCAAGATTATCGAAAAGATGTGTTTATTTTTTAATATCAAATATAATATAGCTATAATTTATGGGCCATATATATCCTTAGTGTACATTTCGTACATCGTAGCAATTAACATGAAGAAATTTTTACAGCAGGTTATTCAGATATCGACTTATTTTTCTTTTTATTTTAAACTCTTTTCAAATATGTGGATTTTGTTAATTTCCGAATTAATGGGCCTCTATTTTGTGACCAACTCTTTGCTCTTAACTTCCTACATTCCTGTAAATTACAATCACATTATGAATTTTGTCATGGGAAATAATTATGATTATAATATATTTCATTTGCACTCTGATTATGTTTTCATCACGTCCTTTACGTCTACGTTAATTTTTTGTGTCCTTTACATGTTTTATTTTTATTTTTTTTAAGTCTCTTGCAGCGTTTGCCTCGCATTTGTTGGCAATTATTACATTGTGAATGTGTTTGCACTTTCTGCTCGCTGCGCATGTTGCAGTTTCCTTTATCATTCGCGAATGGAAATTTGGATCTTCCCCTTTCTGTTCCATCTTACGTCTCCTCTTACCTTTCGTCTTACTTTTCCTCTTAGTTCTGCTTTTACATTTTTTTTTGTCACAGCGCCTTGCCCGAATGTTTAATACGAGCATATGGTATCGCCTTTTGACTTTTTAATTCGTTAGAGTTAATTCATTTATAGACCCCTTTCACTTTGCATTCTACGTCCTACGGTTTTATCGCTTTATCGATTTAAGGCTTTATGACTTTAACGTTTTATGGCTTTAAGGGTTTATGGCTTTATAGGCTTATGGCATTATCGCCCTATGGTTAAATTGCCGAGCTCCTCCACAGCGGGAACTTTTTTTTGTTGATCCCTCTGCATGCCTCCTCCCTTTTTTTTTTTTTTTTAATTAAACTGAACATAACCGACACGTACACGTGCCAACTTACATGCGCATATGCCTATGTATATAAGCCCAAGCAAACATATGTTTTGTGCAACCTTTGAGAAAGTTTTTGCGTTTTAAAATTACAACACAATGTAGAGTTATAAATGGGTACAAGGGGAAATGTCATGGGAGAAGGTTGGTATTGCGAAGGGCATGTCAAGAGGTCGTCATTCTTCTGTCATTTCGCCAGCAATTTCGTGTAGTCCTGACGAGGAAGACAATTCCCCCGTCAATCCTGTCCCTCACTTTGCTTTAACTCCTATTTCGATATATTTTCATGCTAATGAGATGTTAATTAATCCTTTTTTAATTTTTAAACACCATGACGAGGAAAGTCAAACGTGGAGTTACACCCAACTTGGCACCTTTCGCATGGGGAACCCTTCAACATAAGTGTCTATCTGTTTGTTCCTCTTTTTTTCCTCCATTAAAGGCGTTGCGACATTTATGGGAGGCTCTTTGGATAGCTGACAAATTTACAGCCATTCACGTGCAGTCATGCGCACAACGACATCGTGCATCCATCAATTCTTGGACGCGGAGTTGTCCCGTTGCATGGCTCGGGAGAGTGGCAACACAACAGATATGCCTCTTCCCACAAGATGGAAATACTTTTAACAACAGAATTTGGGCCGCAATTTTAATGCGAATAGTTTTTATTATGAGGAAAAAAATCCATTCTGATGGTGAAAAGGGAGTGCCCATTATTTTACACACACCCACTTTTTCTTTTTCAAACGGCGAGTTGAAACTGGTGATAAATTGGGGCAATAATCTGTCACCTTTGTACGTTAAGGCACATGCGGAGAGTCTTGGCAGAAAAGGGGTATTTCTGATGCAGCCCATTTTCTTCAAAAAGAAGATTGACTCATTTTTACGTTGTTAAAAAACACAGTTGTCTGTGGCTTTGGTTCATGTTCGCATGAGCGTCTTTGCCCGTTCATATGTGTTAATTCTGCATGGGGCATGTGCGTGCGTAAAGGAATATGTCTACATGCATATATATATGGATGTGCATATATACATATGTGTATTTTTTTTTTTTTTTCCTTTGTCGCTCGAGGTGATCTGCCCTTGCATGCGACCACTTTTTGCTCGCGCCAAACCGGAACAACCTTCCTGATAGCACTCACATCATTTTTTTTAAAAAAGGCTCAAATTACCAGAAGTTATGTTAAAAAAAATTCATTTTTTATGCAAGCACCATCACGTACAATGCCTTGTCCATATCTCATGAAGAAAAGGATAATTTTTTAGTACTTATTTTTATGTTTTTTTTTTTTTTTTTGCGATTAGTCGAACAACGGGCTCATGTAGACTTTTTCGAGATTTGAGTCTGAGAGACATATTAAAGTTGAGCGAATAATGATCTAATAATGATCAATAAAAAAAGGGCCTTTTTTTCTCAGATTTGACCTTAAATTTTCTCCCCCTCTATCTTGGCCGCTTTAATCGTAAGCATGATCGTGGAATCGTCGCACGCATTTGTGTGTAATAGTACACATGTACATATAATATATATATATATTTTTTTTTTTATTTTTATAAATTACATTTATTCAAAATACAAATGAGTTATCACCCCATTGTACCACTTGTCACCACCTTTTAGTAGCCGTTTACTTAACTTTTATGATTTTGTAAAACTTAAAAGGCGTTTTTTAATAGACACATCACAATTTTGCACATATTAATAGGAACTATTTGCTTACGTTTTCATGAAATTTCACTTGTCCTCATGTTTCAGTACAACCGCCCTACAGGGCATGTCCAAGTGTTTGTAGAAATTATTTTTGAAAATATATTTATTTGGCGTTAAGGTAACAGCGATCATATAGACCCCTCCCCCTCTTATGTCACAGTAGTTGTACCGGTTACTCTATTTTTTTTTTATTGATATACTGTTCGTTTCTTTGGAGACACCTTTACGACACTATTTAATACACCTGCCCATGTATTTCTGAGTGAACATCTCTATCTGTAGGAAATCACTGGTATATTTTTGTATTCAGATTTTGTTCTCCGTCGCACGTTCACCATTTGCATCCTGCACAAATCGACAATAACCGCAAGATGAACCAACCGGCTGACATAAAATACCAATTTACGAAAACCAAAATTTGCAGACACTTTCTAGAAAACAGATGCATGAATAGAGACAACTGCAACTATGCTCATGTTCTGGAAGAATTAAGACCTCTACCAAACTTAGAAAATACCAAATTGTGCAAAAGCGTTAAGAAAAAAATCCCCTGCTGTAACCCTAACTGTAAATATGCCCACAGAATTGAGAAGTTGCAACCCAGTACTGACCTGGCTACCTACAAAACTACTCTTTGTTATTTCTGGAAAAAGAAAAAATGTATGAATCAGGATAAGTGCAGATTTGCTCATGGTATTGAAGAAATTAGACCTTTAAGAATATCAAAGGAAGAGAAAACTGAAAGCGCGTCTCTCCCGCTGTCCGATGTTGATTCCAGTTTAGGCACACAAAATCACCAACAGAGGGGGAAACCAAGCGTCAAACGAACAGAAGAGGCGGACATGTCGCCAGGCAAAAAATGGGACAAGAAGTGGGATCGAAGCGGGGGCAGCATGTGGGCAAGAGATGCAAGCAGGAGTGGGGGCAGGTGTCAAGGCAAGACAGGGAACGAAGATGGCGGCCAGTGGTGGGAAACCCGTAGAGACAAACTGAGGGAAGACTATAGAATCAACCTATTAGAACAGTCCAGTGTCAGTAGATGGAGCAACGAACGAAACAGCAATCGAACCACCGAGCGAACAGAGCCACCAAATGACGAACGAACAAACCAGAGACACAACTTACTATTCGAAGAAGAAAAGCTTCCCGATATCCTCTCCAGCATACACCTATTCGAGAACAGCCCAGTGATGGAAAATGGTTTATTCCAGCTGAATGATAACTTTTTAAATATATGTAACAGAGTGAACCTCGACATCGACACACTTTACGTCCCACTAGGAAAGACTTATTCTATCGAACAGGAGCAGGATTCGGAAGAGAACAACAGTTGGGAAGATTCCATTGTAGACATGAATTTTCTGAACCTGGATTACCTCAACGGTGAGGAAGAAGTTGCAAAATATGAATTATTTCGGGGCAGTGGCCTTGACATGAATCTGCCGAACCTCCAAGCCCTACGTATGCGAGTAAATCAGGACGTACACATGAATAGAAGTTATGACGAAAATATGTGGAATAAAGAAGACGCGGTTAACAGAAACTATGCCGTAAGAAGAGGGAGGCATCCCGAAATAAGCCAAAGTAGAAATCATAATGTGTTTCTAGATACAAGTTCAAACGCATGGGAAAATGTACGTACCAAAGGTCCGAGTGGGAATAACCAACAAAATATGGATAGAAATCAAGGCATAATTCCAAACCAACCTAATATCTTCAATGCGGAATCGATCGAAGACTTGTTTTCATTTGGTGCTACTTCCTCCGAGCAACTGCTAAGCAACACTGAATTTTTTGCCAAATGGTGTAAAAGTATAGAAAATAGAAATTCGGAACATTTTAATAAATTATGTTTATTCTAGCCATCGTCCAAATTTCCAACTGTGTGTATTCACTTTGTATGATCCTCTTCCCTGTATAATATAAAAAAAAAAAAAAAATATCAAGTGACACATATGGTGCTATATTACATGCAGAAAAAATTTAATTAAATTAGACATATGCACATGGGTAAGAATTCTTCACAACTTTTAAATCAGCATAAAACGTCCTTATATGCCATCTCGTATATTATTTTCTATAAAGTGATTATAAAAAATATGTTCAGTCGTATAGCTTTCCTTTTTTTTTTGTTTTTTATATTTGCTTGAGAAGATTTCCAAAGTTTATTCATGTAATGTTTACGAAAGGGTATGTATGCACATGTATGAACATATACATCCTTAGAATAATCCCCAAATGATACATCATTATAATTATCTTAATTGTTGTAATTAAAAAATTCCATTCATTATGCCGATATGTATTTTGAGTACTTGCTAAAATTGCACTCGTGTTTAAATGAGTAAAATTGTGTTTGACTAAACAGCTATTGTTGACATAGCTCCCCATTTATATGTAACTTTTTATTTTATTTTTTTTGTCCTACGTGTCCGCCTCGCGTTATTCATACTAATTATTTTTAAGTGCAAACTGCTCATCCGTGTCCTTTTCAATTTCGTTCTCCCTGTCCTTTCCTTTTGCTCGATTTGCAAACCCTCTTTAGTGTTCCTAATTTTTTGTGCTTTCTTTTTTTCTTTTTTTTTTTTCGCCGTCTCTAGTAGAGCACTTGCAAACATCGTTTAAAGGTTCTTGAATTTATTTTTTTTTTTCGTTCTTTTCTAGGTAAGATAACCCAACACCGAAGCAACAGCGAATGTATACTTTTTAAAGATATTTATTGTAAGAATAGGATTTACAAAATAGTCTCTTTTTGTTTCCATTTTGTGTTCCATGTGGTTGAAGTCACCGATGGTGTCAAACGGAAGATATGAAAATGAATATTTCCTTCTCTGGGCAAACGTTAGCCCTACCACCAAAATGAAGCATAAAGGATGCTTATTGCCACCGGTGTGTGTGTGTAGATACACGAGACATGTTCTTTTTGACGCCACTGGAGGGTGCAGATGAAAGGCAATGTTACCACAATAGCTGTTCAATTTGTCCAAATGGAGTAATTCCCACTAATTATGAAACTGCTCCAGTTTGGTGTTACCATTTTGTCATTCGAGGAATTAACGCCTTTAATTTTTTCCTTCAATTGTGAGAATCTTTTGGATATATATATATTTTATTTTTTTTTTTCACTTTTTTTGTTTTTTTCTCATGTACAAAAAAGATTCTGCCACGGATGAGGAAATTTTTATTTTTTTTTTATTTTTTTTTATTTTTTTTTTTTTTGCACATTTTTGATGCACTTTCATCATTGCGCCAAAACATAAAAATCTAAATAAATGTATATACCTTTATACGAGAGAATGAGTTAATTATAAATGTATTTCTATGATACAGTTAGGGGGGGGAACTTTAATTACACATACATTTGCATATGCGTACACGTGGCACATGTAGGCATATGTGATACGTATGGATGTATATGTACATGGGCCTACGCGTAGGTATAGTGGTATATATAAATATTTATACATATGCATGCATATGAATCTATGTGTACATGTATACATATTTATATGGTTGCATGTGCGTGCACATGTATATATTTCTTTTTTTTTTTTTTTTTCTTTTGAGGTACGTATATGCGTTGCGTCCACTGCGTATATATATATACCTTTCGCGTGGAAAAAAAGCATCGAAGTGAATGCAGTAAAGCCGAGCTTTCCCCTTTCGCACGTCTAACAGAAGTCTAAATAATCCATAATATAAAAAGTGCTAATTCAAATTGTAATAATCGTGGCATAAATTCCGCAAAAAAAAAAAAAAAAAAAAAAAGCAAGGGGCGGGGATAAAATTGTTCAATCTCGTAATTTTATATGCCTTCTTTTTTTTTCCTTTTTCAAACTAGCTTGACTAAGAAGGAATACATGTGGAATGCATTTACCTAAGCTTCGACGTCTCCTTCTTCTTCCTCAAATTCTCCTTCCTCTTCAGCTGTTGCATCTTGGTATTGCTGATACTCGGAAACCAAATCATTCATATTGGACTCTGCTTCTGTGAATTCCATTTCGTCCATGCCTTCTCCTGTGTACCAGTGCAAAAATGCCTTTCTTCTGAACATAGCCGTAAATTGATCTGACACTCTCTTGAACATTTCCTGGATGGCCGTGGAGTTTCCTACGAAGGTTACTGCCATTTTCAATCCCTTTGGTGGAATGTCACAAACGCTGGACCTGTGGAAGTGGAAAAGAAAATGGAGGCGCCGTTAGGTGAGTTACGCCGCGGTGCAGGTGGGGAAAAGATACTCCCGCTCGGAGTGTGCTTCGCCTGCGAAAGCGTCACGTGGAAAGACGTCTCGATTGCGTGTAGGTGATGGCTAGACGCTGCGATCGGCGCAATCGCTTCGTCGTAATAATTTGGTTGCTCGCTTCCGCCAGGCTTGGGTAGAGAAACCTACTTGGTGTTGTGGGGAATCCATTCAACGAAGTAGGAGGAGTTCTTGTTCTGCACGCTGAGCATCTGCTCGTCTACCTCCTTAGTTGACATTCGTCCTCTAAACATGGCGCAGGCGGTTAAGTATCTTCCGTGTCTTGGGTCACTTGCACACATCATATTTTTGGCATCGAACATCTGTTGAGTTAACTCTGGTACTGTTAGAGCCCTGTATTGCTGACTGCCTCGGCTTGTTAGTGGTGCAAATCCAATCATAAAGAAGTGGAGACGTGGGAAGGGAATTAAATTAACAGCTAATTTTCTCAAATCAGAATTTAACTGACCAGGAAATCTTAATGAACATGTAACTCCTGACATGGCAGCAGAAACTAAGTGATTTAAGTCACCATAAGTTGGAGTAGTAAGTTTCAATGTCCTAAAACAAATATCATACAGGGCCTCATTATCTATAACTTGTACTTCATCAGCATTTTCAACCAATTGATGCACAGACAGGGTTGCATTGTATGGCTCAACAACTGTGTCTGATACTTTTGGCGAGGGGAAAACTGAAAAGGTTTCCATAATACGGTCTGGATATTCTTCCCTAATTTTACTAATCAGCAAGGTTCCCATACCACTACCTGTACCTCCACCTAAAGAATGAGTAATTTGAAATCCTTGTAGACAATCACATCCTTCTGCTTCCTTTCGAACTACGTCTAAAACTGCATCTATTAATTCGGCACCTTCTGTGTAATGTCCCTTGGCCCAATTATTTCCAGCTCCTGTTTGTCCAAATACAAAATTGTCAGGTCTGAATAACTGACCGAAAGGTCCTGCTCGCACACTGTCCATAGTTCCTGGTTCCAGATCCATTAAAATGGCTCTGGGAACGTACCTACCACCGGTTGCCTCATTGTAAAACACATCAACTCTTTCTAACTGTAAGTCACTGTCTCCTCTGTAGGTACCACTCTGTGGAGAGAACACAAAGGGGTGTGAACGAGTGAATGAACTAATTATTTGTACGCCTTCCACGAACAAGCCAATTTAGCGGAGGACATACATACATGCATGTCACTCGTTGGATTGCATGCACAATTGGTACGCTCATGGGTGCAGTGGTTCGGACGATTAATACGCATCCGTTCTGTGCTCATTTGTGCGGTGGGATGCAAGATAACCAGACATTATAAGCTCCATTTTTGTTCTTATTCTTTCCTTTTCGTAATTAACAACTTAAGGTGCAACATTTCGGAAGCAGGTCTCACAATGCAAAAACGCATAAGCATGGAGTGCAATACATAAAAACGGGGATCAAACGGATACACACTGTGCATGGGAGTGAGGCAAATCTCACTACGTGCGTGGCCCTCATTTGGCATGATAGAAAGCGTGAGAAAAACGAGAATAAACATGGGTAAGAACACCAATGGAGTAACTCACATGGGGTAATATTGAAGTGACCTCTTTACATGATCACACTCCTATGTGGTGGTACACCACCTGTGTATGTGCACTATCAGGGCCTATACACATGCGAATGAGTATGCAAACAAATGGGCGTGCACTAATGCGGGAACTGGTATACATACATGCAAGCGTACAGTGGTGCCTATCCACCCACACACAGGGACATACACCTGTGGGAGACAATAACTACTTACTGGATCTATGCCGTGCTCGTCGGATATGACTTCCCAAAATTTTGCACCTATCTGATTACCACATTGGCCGGCTTGGATGTGAACGATTTCTCTCATTTTTGTATGCGATGTTAACAGCAAGGAATATCTTCTGTGGTATGCAAATGTACGTGCGTATATATACACGTTTGTGTAAGCGTAATTATACACTTGTACTGTGAGCCGTACTGTATATTCACTTGGCGAAAAGGAAATGAACAGTGAGATGGATTACGAAATGACAGATGAAATTATGACACTGGTAAAACGTTAAAAAAAAACACAGGGCAGAAGGAGGAAAAAGAAATGAATTAAATGATAAGAAATAAATTAAGGAATGAATAAATTTCTCGTAAAATAATTGTGGAGAAAGAAGGAAAAAAAAAAAATAAAATAAATGCGAGCTAAAAGAAAACTGGAATGAAATGCTTAATTAATACATGTATATTTCTTTCCTTTTATTTTATTTTTTTTTGGTGTGTAAAAGTATAAAATAAAAAAAAAAAATAGTAAGCTTTTTGGTAGGCAGCTTGACCGTGCAATGACCGGTCAAACGCGCGGGGGCGATAGCAGTTGGCCAAAAAGGGCTTTATATATAAGTCCGTGCATGGGCGTAAAATATACAGCCGCATACATAAGTATAAGCTTATATAAACAAGCATAAAAGTGTATATATAGGCATAATTATGCATAAACATGTATATATGCGTATAACTATTTACTATTGCGTATATATATTCCTAACACACGCCATGTGCACAGGATGCCTACACGCCAAACAACTTTCTTTGCTGAACAAGCTGCGCCAGTAGGGGACACGAAGCGTTAGCTTAAGCATAAGCGAATGAAGGGGGGACTGCGAATGGCATCTCTGCAAACACGCGGAGGAATGTGCTTGCTTATTTCTTTCAGCGCTGCGTATATATGCGTTTGCACCTGGGTAATTATGTACATATATATATAAGCTTTTGCATATTTTTATACTTATACATATATATATACATATTTATGTATTTCTATATAATACATATTTATATATTTTTATATATATTTATAAATATTTGTATATTTTTATACACGTTTATATATATATTTTTTTGAGCCCCTTCGCATGTGTACGAGAAATGCGCAATTATCCCTTTTTTATCACGTGGAGGCTGAAAAAAAAAAAAAAATAGAGCAGTGTTTTAACTGTGCTAGGAATTTACTTGGCACGATTGTGCAAATTGTAGTGTCTGAGTCAATATCGAAGTATATGTGTGTATGCCATTGGTGTGCCATGTTTTTTTCTTTAATTGGGCAAGAAAGCGCACGGCACAACCCACTGAGATTTGCCTTGGTGCGTCAAAGGTTGGTGTGCACAGGTGAATATGCGTTTATGAACTTATGTGCATATACGCTCATGCATATTTATGTGCAGCTTGGTTTCCTTTTTTTTTTTGCGTCCACACGTTTACTTGCTGGCTGGGGGAACTTAAATAGACAAGCACCAGTTAACTAACCGTCAAGGGAAGTGCCCTGTGCACAACATCAAACGCACTATGCTCGCAGAGGGACACCTCGAAATGACTTTATTTTTTTTCGTTTTTTTTTTTACCAACATTTCTACATTTTTATGTTCCTATGTCTCAATATTTCTATGTTTCTATATTTCTATGTTTTTGTATTTCTGTATGTTTATATTTCTATGCCGATTTTCTCACTTCTGCGCAAGCGCATATGTGAACATGAAGGAGTTGCGCAAGTAGAATTAAGTGCCCCATATTGCCTAACTTTTTACTAAAGCCTTCGGAAAACGCACCGTGTCTCTTGTTTTTTTTTCCCGTTAAAGTGTAGATTTAGAGGGTACATTACCTGCCGGATTGGTGTATTAACAAATGGATAGCATTGCCCAGTTCGTAGGGAAAATAAGATCCTTGTGTACGTAGAAAGTGCAACATAGGAAATGACACTTTGGTTTTTTTTTTTCTTTTTTTTTCCCCCTTTTCCCGTTTTCTACATAGCTAAGCATAATTGTGGAGACATGCAAAACCCTTGGGGGGTATCGAAATGGAACAGCACGCATTCATAGAAAGCTAACTAGTAAAGCGCAATTAACCTGCTAACCACGCGATAGCAATTCCTTAGTCTCTCATTGGGCCATCGTCTTCAATTGGTTAATCCCATATGAAGCACTCCTCAGCAGCAGTGGCTTTTCGAGCCGTCACAAGAGGCCACAAAAAAAAAAAGAAAAAAAAAGGGGGTGGAGGCATAGATTAGAAATGGAATATCCTCTTTATGCTGAAGAAGCAGATAACATTTTTAAAAATCCATCTACAGTTTCCCCCTCCTCTTTAAATGTCTACAGAAGGGTCCACACTGAGCAGTGGTGAGTCACTTTTAAGATCCGAAAAAAGAAAACGACCAACGATAAAAAGTGAATATCACTTTTTCAAGTACGTTAGTGCTTGGCAATATCGCCGAAAGTTATTTCTCACCTGCTGCTATTTTTTGCGCTCGTTCATTCTCAGCAAAAGTGTGGCAGAAAATGGCCACATTCTTTTTCACCCATTGCGATAGCTTTTTAAAAGGTAATATATGAACGTACGGGCGAGAAATTTACGTGGAGGTTTTTCCCCCTTGACGAGGTTGTTTGTTCAATTGCATATACAAACGTGATAATGTTGTTCTCCCCCATTATTGTGTTAGTAGTTTTGACGGGAAGTGTACCTATTTTTTTTTTCTTTCTTTCCTTTACTCTCCTCTATGGGTTACTGATCTTTCTGTGAGCACTAACACTTGGTGTTCATCTTTACCGTCCACTAAGAAGGAACAAATCGCTCACCCGTTTTCACAAAAAATGCAAGCGAATGCATTTAATTTTTTTTTTCCTATCAATGGTTTATTCGTAAATGCGAATATTCGAATTTTAAAAAGGAAAAGGGGAAGTTAATACGGAAAATTGTGTTTGCACTAATTTTTGCTAAACGGTGAAGCCACGAAAATGACATTTCATTTCTGCATCCTCAGGAAATGTTCCTTTTTACACGTCTTTCCAAGTGCACTGCTTAATGAGAATTGAAAGTGCCAAAGTATGGGAAAAAAAAACAAAAACGAAAGTGCCAAGAAGCGTTGAGCATGCTAGATAGCACTAATCTGTGCACCTTCAAAGAGTGGATAAAAACAAAAGGATTCATGAGAATGAGAAAAACCTTTTTTTTTATTTTCTCATCTACTTTTGCACATATGCCAAAGTGGTGAAGTAGATTTATTTTCTTATTCCCGAATTACTAACCAAAACATGTATATGCAATGTGCACAATTTCTCCAAATTTTTCAAAGAGGGCGAGAAGAATTTGTCTAACTAGTAGCTGTAAAAATTGTTGCGATTGTAATAACAACAGAAGGAGCACCCCCCTACATTTCGTGGTTGAGACGGAATAAAAGGTATTAGGCACAAATTACATCGTGTTGTGAAAAAAATAATGATAATAAAATAAAAGACAAAGACAGAGGCAAAGGCCATGGGGAGGGGGCTAATTTATAAGGGTGTAAAAACGTAGTAATTAAGTCAGATGAAATACACGTTTTATGTGGGTAACAATACAAAACATTAAAGAGGAGCAAAAGAAAAAAAAAGAAAAGAAAAATACATATTTAGATTCATTTTTCCATTGTGAAGGTATGAGCTTCTTCTCCTTCTCTTTTTTTTTTTCTTTCCCCTTCGTAGGGTTTTTAAAAAAGGGGGGTTATTTCCCTTTAGGGGGCATATTAAAAATGTCTACTGTAGTGCTGTAACACTGCAGGGGCTTCCAATTTGTTCTAAAGCAAATGGTAGGACGACAGCTATTCCGCACACCGTGGTGGGGTAAAAGTTTGCCCACCCGGGGGAACGATCTCATCATTCGGTTTTATCACCCGCTTGACTTCGTAGTGTAATCACTTGCGCGCATCGTGTCACTTCCTCTTCTGCTTCTTAATAAACTTCTTGTTGTTCCAGTCCGCCTCTCGCTTATTAAACCGGAAGTCCTTCTTTTTGTTGAAGGCGTTATTATTGTTGTTGTTCCTATTTTGGTCATCGTTTGACTGATTGGGATTGTACTTGCTGTGCTTCACCTGCATTTGTAGCTGTGAGTTCGAATTCTTTGAATTGTTCATCTTCTTCTGCATGCTGTTTGTTATATATTCTAGCCTCTTCTCCAGGATCGTTTTGCATGTTATGGCAATGGATGGCTCTGAAAAGTTTCCCAGGGCATCAACTCTTGTGCACAGAGACAATTTCGCCGCTAAAGATCTGCTAATTTTTCCCTTCAGTTTCGGGGTAGTTTGCCCTACTAAAGTTGCGTGGTAAATTAGCCCATATTTGGGCGTTTTCGACTTGGTCTTTAGGGCCCTAAATAGAGCTTTTTCAGAACCCAAAATCTGTAAAGTCGAACTTGGGTATTTTGCCAAAGACATGAGGGAACCTGCTTTTGCAATTAACTTGGCCCCGATTAAATCACCAACTAGATAAGTCAAATTTGGTGCAATGGAACTCATTCTGTATTTCAAATAAATAGCTAACGATTCTCTATACTCTGTTAACTCTAATAGCCTATCAGCTAATTCGTTAATGCAGTTTAGGTCATCGTCTTCAATTTCTGTTCCCATGGAGATTTCTGCCAACTGTTTTATTTCCCTTTGAATTTCTTCTGTTGTCTCCTCTAGCAAGTTGACATTCTTTGCATTACTTCGGAATCCAATCAATTTAACACATTTCGCATATATTTTATTGTCCGTGATTACTTTCCCCAGTTCTGGAAAATGCCATCCATACCATTCCTTCAGTCGCATAGAGAAAACATTTATTTCTTTGTCCAAATCTTCTAGCAATCCAACTGCTTGTATAATCATTACGTCAACTTTGTCAGCACTAAACTTTAATTTGAATCGATTTAACGAATGAGATAAACTTAACTTTAACAATTTCGCATCTTCCTCCTTTACACCAACTAGGAGTCCATACAAATGCGTTCGAATTCCTCTAATTATTTCCTGAGTCGAATTTGTGTATGTTACATTTATATTGTATTTTTTTTTTATTAGTCCACCTAACGTTT